CAGCCTGTGCACCTGAGGTGATCTGGAGCCTTTTCTCAGTATTTCTGCTGGAAATCAAGAATAATTGAACCCTGGGGTGAAGTGCAGACTCCTGCGTACAGATGCTAATACCACATACTCAGTTTGAGTGAACTGTTAATTGCTACACTTGAGATTATTTAAATTTGCTCAATGTACATTTGAACCACATTGGCATGGGCATGACAACCTGTGTGTGACTAGGTAATACTTCAGTTGCTTGTTTATCTCAAATTCTTCTAAAAAACATGGGTGGATTATATTTGATGTATAACCCTGGCTGCTATAATAAAGTAGTACATTATTTATAGATTCATAACATACCTTTTCACTATGAATATAAACAATAATTAGAAAATACCAAAACCCCAAGGGTCTACTAAAAGATCAAATAAGTGTTTGAGAGCTTATATATGTTGTCTCTGTAATATATACATATTCCATTTATATAAAGATACATAGTATGTATACAAATATAAATAAATATGTGTACTGTGTGCTTAAAGACATTTTACACCACACAAAGATGGGAACAAATTCCTATTGTTATATACATAACGGCTATGTGTAATTAGCCATGTGGCTTCTGTTTAGAAATTAAAAGATTAGCATTACAGATGTGTCTAACTACTTCATGTTCACTTTATGTACTGGCTACATGATGAAAAAGCTGTTGAAATGCAGATGATTGGTCCTAAGTAAGATTGCTAAAAGGCTGTGTTAAACAAGTTTTAAAAGCATGCATGAAACTGCCTACATTTGTACATAAAACATACAAGAGGCCATGCTGGGTTACACCAAAGCATTCCATCTCCCTCAGTAGGTGATTAAGGAAAATGCATTTGAGAAAGATTTGATTTGAATCGCCAAAGTCAGACCTCTGTATCCTTGTATTTCCTTTAAGTTGGAGGCTTCCTAGCTCAGGGTCTCATTAAATACCACCACCTGAATACTAAGTCATTTCTGAAGTTTTTCTCCATAGATTTATCAAATTCTTTGAAGCAGTTTATACTTTTGTTTTCCACAACGGCTCACAGTAACGTTTCATAATTAACTTGACATTTGAGCTTTCAAGTCTCTGATAAAAGTTTCATTACTGCTGCAAGAGATATTGTGCTGCAAGAAGAAAGCACAGGTTCAAGTATTAACTTGGAGGTAGTTTAGAGGTGGATTTGCTGAGACATTGCAGCTTCACAGCTCAGACCTCTATATAATTTTAAGTTTTCTACTGCTGATTTTAGAAAAATTCTGAATATTTTAGTATGAAATACAAACTCAGTCATTATATCCCTTTAGCAGCAAAATGGTAGAAACTGAAAATTAACTGATGTTCAAAAAACAGCTTGAGCACCACCTAGAATAGAGACCCCAACGCACGCTCACAATTTCAGAAATTCTGTTAGTCAAAGGTAAGGCCAATGTGGTTCAAGGCTGAAAAATCTTTTCCAGAATACGCATCATTGAAATATTTTTGAGCTCTGCATTACATGTGGGATCTAATACTAAATTGTACCTATACAAGCTTTCCTCCTTTCTTTCCTGCCTTCCCTTTTAGCAAATAAAATTGAATGAATTAAAAAAAAAACAAAAACAGGTTGAAAAGTTCTTTCTGCTTGGAAGAAGTAAAAAAAGTAACCTAGATCAAGATAGTATAATAAATGATAAGCAAAGAATGAGATACATACTTCCCCCAGAGTTAGCAGACCATGCCCACCCAGTTGGGAACAAGACAAGGCTTTGTAAGCAAGCTATTAAATATTTAGTTTCTGGTATGATGAGCCACCTATAATTAAAATTCACACCAAGTACATTAAATTACTTTCTAGTACTCAAATATGTCAATATTCCTGTGTCATACAAAGTAATTCCACAACGCACAGCAGGGAAGCTGTTGTGCTGCTTTTTTTTTTTTAACAGCATACTGAAAAGAGTTGATTGTAATTCCTGATATTAAAAGAAATATAAAAAGTATTTATTTGATTTTTCTTTTTTATACATTGTAAGCACAAAGCCGTTCTTTGTGACTGTCTTCAGTTTATTTTTTTACACTGTTTTAAGATCATCATTGATGTCAGCCATACTTCAAGTACATGCTTTACTTAGAAGTACGATAGGATTTATCAAAATGTACATCTGTATTTTATTCTGATTATGGCCATGAATTCAGTCTTCATTAAAACTGCTTTTAAAGTACTTCCCCCTGCATACCGGGCTGTACAAACTATTTTATTTGGTGAAATAATTTTGTGCTATGTTTTCATTCCTCCAACTCAGCCACAGATTTTCTGTGTGGAACTCTGGAAATCATCCAGTCGTAATTCAAAATTCAGCAAAGCACAAATAACAAGCAGAATATGTATATATAACCTGCATTCCTCTTCAGACTCGCACCATAAAATGATGCTAAGTTCTTGTGCTAAAAAGGTGTGGATGCTAACAGCATTTTTTATTTTTTTTTAAATGCTGTTTGGGTTTTGATATCCTGTACTGCCTCTCCCAGGTAACCTCCTAGGAAGAGCATCTTCATTTTCACAATGTGTGCACCATCTGAAAAAACTGCACAAGGACACACATATGGTAACTTTTGTGACAAAAGAAAGATTGAAGTATGGAGAAGTACCATCTTAACACTGATGCAGACAGAATCAGAAGACACTGGGAAGCTTCAGATGTTACTTTTACCTTGGATAAAAAGGTACTTATGCTTTACTATTCTCTTCTGATGGCTCTTTGTGAAAGCTCTTAAAAGCACCCCTGTAGTTTCTCCCATATTATTGGAATTAGAGGTCTCAAGAAAGAAGTAGGTCCGGGGAGTTCACCAGATTCAATACAATATTAGTCATTTTAAAACTTTAGTGACCTTAACTCAAGGATCAGAAAGCATTTCAAGGCATGAGAAACCACAATCCAGAAAACTCTAGCATAATATTTGAATTGCATCAAGGATGGCAACTGGCTCATATGAGATCAGGATGTCTTACCTATCTTTGCCATATTACCAGGCCAGCCTTCCTTTCTTGTAGCCGAATTTTCCAGGTATCTTTTGATTATAATCTATCACACCCGACCTCATTTATATTCATTTACATACTAAACTTCTTCTTGCTGTTAGATTAAGTATTAAAAAAATAATCCTGTCATATTGCTCCCAATAAGAAGCTGCCAACTTCAGAATCAGGTTTCATTTATCTGAATCACAGCCATGCACACTTACAAAATTCACAGCTATCAATAATATTTACCCAGTGCATCAGTCCTTATCCCATACTTTAACAATCTAAACAATTTATGATACTGAACTTTCTTCTAGGCTACCATTCTTAATTCCTCCTGTTTGCTTCTAAGGTCTCTAAATGCCCCCACATTTCACAATTATTTCTAGACATCTGTCAGTCCTGGTCTGCAATGCAGTGTGCTCAGTCTGTTGTCCATCATGGAAAGCAAGTGGGTCTTTTTGGTGTTTTTTTTTTGTTTTTTTTTTTTTTAATGCAATTCTTAAGCAACTTTTTCCCTCCAGTTAAGCTTTTACTCTACTGGGCTTGCAGCTTACCGTTATAAGTAACATAACATCAAGTAGGTTTAAAATAATTCCTGCTAAATGCTTACAGCAATTGAGTGCCACATTCACTTAATCAGCCTTCATTTTCTATCTTTACTGAAACATATCCAAAAGTTGTCACCTGCTTATATAATCAATGAGATGAGTCACACATGAACTTACTGAGGTAAGTCTGCAGTAGGGCACAGACCCTACACCCAAGAAATGGCAGATTGATAGATCAGCAATCAATAGGAAATAAACTGGGTCATTACTTAGAAAACAAAAAGGTGAAAAATTATAGGTACAGTTAATACAAAACCCATTACAGACAATAAAAAGCCGTAAGTGTCACTGAATCAGGCTCAACTATTATTTCCCTGATATAATAATATATGTTGAATTCAATCTCTTACAAGAGATAAGAGACTTCAGTACTCAAGAGGAAAAAAAAAACAGGATTAAAAAAAGCCTATTTTTCCAATGCTTTTGTTTTTAAATATATAGCCACTAACTTTGCAGCTTATTAGATAAGACCTTGCATTCAATCATGGATAGGGAGACAGATAGGTAGTGCACAGTTCCACTCTCTGCAGAGTGTAGAGAAATAGAATTTCCCATTAAGGTCTGTGAAGTGACATGGATTTCTTGCACCAAGATCAAGATTATATTATAGCATGATTATAAAATTAGTGCTTACAAACACAGAGATACCTCTGGAGTGGAACACAGCAGCTGCTTAACAACTGACAAAACTGCACAACAGCTGAGGACAAAGCAGAGAACTAATTCAGCCTGCATCTGCAGGAAAAGTTCAGCTAGGATGGTCATTTGTGGTCAAATTAACATCTGGAATAATATCTTATTTGATGATGAAATTCAGTAAAAGTGAGTTTAATCAGAACATTTTCAGTCCTGACTTTAATTCTCAGAATGTGCTTTTACTTTGTTGCAAGTGTTCTATCAAATACTGAAGTACGTCACTGCGGAATCCTCACTACAATACTAACATTTCATGATACTCTATTCCTGTTATTTACCTTGCCTTGTTTTACTTGTTTATATAACACTGGTCCTGCTTATAACTAAACAGAAAGAAAAAAGTAGAATTTCCACTCTGAACAGCAAATTATACATGCAATTTGATTTGAATCATAATCACATCCAGGAGGTTGTCTTCACTGATTCCAGATACAAGTCACAAATCTAAACCACCGCTGTCATTTCCAAACTACACCATGGTAATTTTGCCTTTTTTTTTTTTGCTAGAGATACTTAAAAAAAATCATTATCTATTGTCCAGAACGGATTGTTCTTACCTTCTTAATCAGGAGGAGAATTTAATGAATCATAAAATCAGTAAAGAAGATCACACAACATGGAACTAATGCATTTAACAACACAATTTCTCAAGGCTTATTTATAGAAATCATCATGAACTTACCTGTAGGGGATCCCTCCATGACGTGACCAATATAGGGTCCTTCTTTGAACATGGGCCTGTTATCATTTTGATCAATAACAGAAATATCCAGGCTGACTGGGCCATCGATGATTTTCCCACTTAAATCCGTTACTTCAACTTCCAGCTGTATAAACAAAAAGGAGAAGGGGAGGAGTAAGTTAGTTCCTTATCACATTGAAGGATAAGAGAAAAATAGTTCCCATCAGTGGTGTGGTTACCAGATCTCACCAGGTATAGCACTTGCAGCCCACTATTTTGGACTGGGCTCAGAGCAGATTTCAAATATAAGCAAAAGTGAAAGATAAATGTATATTCACATCAAGACACCCTCCAGTAGCTTGAAAATAACTTATTGTCTGAAGATACATATCAATCCACCCACTGTGGAAAACACACAAGTTACTAAAACTAAGTCATCAGAGCAAACCACACTAAAACTTCCCACACACGATAACACAAAAGGTCAATTTCGATTGCAGCAGCATTGCATATCTGCAATTCTCTCCTCACCATGACATCAGTAAAAACAGTAATAAACATATCAGAGAGACAGCTATCATCCTCACCTATTCTACCCATCCCTAGATTCAACTCTTTAATGTAGTTAAGGCAGCGTGAAAGTGAACCTTGACATGGATGTTAAAACCACCCTTTTCCAGTCTTTCCGTGAGACAGCGGTAGCAGCAGGGGCTGGAAGTCTCTGAGCATTTTTTATCCTATTAATTTATTCTTCATTGCCATGTCTTACACCTGTAATTTATTTATAAGTTAGTGATAAATTGTGCTAAGAAAGAATTAGGTTAGAATTCTAATTCCTTATTAAAATAGGTGGTTATTATAATACATACCCATATATGTTATAATTACATCCCACATTCATAGTTAAATTTGTGGGGCACAAGCATTCATGTTATGAATAAGCTATCACAGACACTATTTGTAAATAGTATCACAGGCCATTTTAGCATCTGCTCACTCTGCTCATTCTCACTTATCTAGAAATTATTCTTGGATGATTTTCTCAAGTGTTTTTTTTTGTTTGTTTGTTTGTTTTGGTTGGTTGTTTTTTTGGCCGTATATAGAGCTTAACAGCTTTAAAGCTAAGATGTCCTCTGAAATTCACGTGGCATTCAAGCTTTAGAGGGCATGTGCCCCTTCACTTTCCTGGGTTTGTTTAACACTGGACACTGAAGTCAATGTAATAATCTCAGTATTGCATATGATGTGATGGGGATTAGAAAGGAAAACGCAGTGTTGTTATTGACCTACATTAAATCTAGATGCAGTTTCAGATACAGTTAGGAATTGCTGACAAAAAGATTTCTCTTAGTAAATGTTGACTCATCAGAACAATGTTAATTGCTTTGGGGAATGAAAGAATAGCAAGATTTTTCTGTGAAATTTGAGCAAATTCACTTTCTGAAGATAACACACTCTTAATCTCTCTCAAAATTAAGTAGCTATACTGCTCACTGGAAAGAACAAAGTTTAAAGTAACTATTTGCTTTCATAGAAACTGCTGGTGATCTAAAGCAAAGGCTGATCTAACATTTGTTGATTTGTCTTCCACAGGTTAAAGAAGAAAATAGATCTACGTGACCATAGCAAACTCTATTAAGTCTGAGTCCCACTGGCCAAAAAGATTCTGATAACAGGTCCATGGAACCTGTTACACAGTCTGCTTCATTCTGTTAATACAACCAAAGATTTTATTAGTCTCTGTACAATAATCTGTAGAACCCTAAACATTATGTAAAAAGAGCCAAAAAGCCACAGCACCTAATTAGGACCATCTGTCTTCACCTGACTGCTATACAGAAGGCACTTGTGTAGATCTTGCCTCCCCCTCTCCCACCTTCTCTCCGAATCCAACATCAGAACAGCACCAAAGAAAAGCAGAAAGTACATCTTAACACAAAATCTGAACACATGCAAAGGAAAGAAGTTTAAGAAAAGGATACTATTGGCAGAGAAAACAGGTGACTTTAAGCAGGCTGTAAATAAAACCACATATTGCATCTGACTATCAGAAGAACGATACATCAGTCTTTTAGTAAAGAAGAAAAGCCCATCTAGTTTTAATGTAAAACTTGACTTATATACCAGAGCTACTGCACTCTTCTAATAGCAACAGACTGTAGTTGAACATACAGAAAGCATCTAAGCTTCTACCTGATTCCAACAACATAACTAAGGAGAAATGGTAAGCAAAGATTTGGGCAAACTGACAGAAAAAAAGAAATCAGCAGATACATTTCTTATTAAGTAAGATTGGCCATACTCCTCATGTTTCAACCTTAAAGTTATGGAATTACTTTCATAAAGTTACATCCGTATGAATCTAGCAGCCATATTTTCAGAAACACTGAAGACCAAACCTCAATTTCATTTCTGACAGAAGAATACCTACAAACCACAAAAGCTGGCCAGGGGTTTACAAGAAAACCACATTTCTCACAACACACATCAGCACACCAGGATACAAAGCAGACTTTCACCACTGAAGTTCACAGAGCTGAGAAGCACAGACAAAATTAAACACACCAAGAAAACAAGGTGAAGCAACGTTAACACTGATAACTGCAGGCAGTAACAGATCCCAGCCTATTTCTCTCCATCCCCTCCTCAGGTCTCTTCCCTTCTCAAAAGGGACTTCCTGACATTCTGCACTATTTTCTTCCTCATACCAGCAGTGAGATGATTTCTCATCACCTCAGACATGACTTTTATCTGAAGTTTAGTAAAGTTACTCTAAGCAGCACAAACCTGTTTGAAGCACTCTCCTATATCGTGCAGAGGCTTGCCTTCTTCCCACACTCAGCAATAACATTAAAAGGAAAGACAGCCAGCACCATCCTCACCATTACCTCAAGCAGTTTCCACGGTTTCTCTTCACAGAACGGCTGCTTCCCTTCATTTATTGCTTTTGGTGAAGTGATTCTGGATGGCCCCATTTCTCCTCTGCATATAAATGTCTGCTTTTTCTCTGCAGCCAGCCAGCCAATGGCCCACACCAAATTACACCGTGAATCTAAAGCTTTTCATAACTAAACCTAGAATATCTTTTAGTGCTTGATTACCTTTGAAGTCCAATATGGGTTCTTTAGTCACTAACTGCTTTCTAATTTGAAGTTTTGCTGCTGGTGAGAGCTCCTCCAGGACTTCTTCCAGTTTGATTAACAGATGGCTTTCCTGCACATTCCTCACACCCATTTTCACACAAAAACACCAAAAAACATCCCAAAATTCAGTTATTTTCACTGGTGCAAACAGCAGCTTCCCAGAACAGCACGGGCTGCTGTGTGAGGAGAAGCCGGGCTGCTTCCCACTGAGCTTCTGGATGGTTCCAGAAAGCTCTGCAATCAGGAGCAGCTGATCCCCCCCCCCCCAAGGACACAGGTGTGGGAGTATTAAAGCAAAGAGGCATGAAGTGTTCTCAGGTGTTTTGGGTTTACCTCAGCCAATCAGTTTTTGTGCCCTCACCCCAGCGCTGCTGTAGAGGTGAATTGAGTGCAGCTGGGTGAGGTGCAGAATAGGTAGGAAAGGAGGTTTTTTTTTTTTCAATGCTGAAAAGTTGTTTTAAAGATTGGCTCTTATAAAACTCAGAGAGGCGATAATTTAGACACGGAAATAAATTGCAATTGAATTTCCTGCTTTTAAGGATATGGATAAAATATTAGCTGATTATTACATGGCACAAAGGAGAGAGAAAAGATTTGAAAACAAAACAAGACTTCTAATAGGAACAAATAATTGTAGCTCAAGCTACTCAAGAACAGGGCATTGATTTCCTCCAAAAGGTTGTATGGGTGTTGCCAAAAAGCACAGTATACAATTTGGTCTCATATTCAGAATTATATCCTAGGTGCAGAGGGATTAATTAGCCAGTCCCAGCATAAACAGCCTGCCTTATTACACAATAATGCTTAAGTTCCTCACACAGAAAATACAGATTTAATCTCATAAGTTTCATGCTTATCTCAACATGACTCTCTATATAAGATCTTTGAAGAATTCCAGGACTGGAGATTTCACTAGGAAATCTAATTAAAACAGCAACTGAGCCTTCTGTGATTGCTTACATCTTCCTATGTAAACAGCAGTAAGCTGAGCAATGCATAGACTGCAACCACATACAGTCTACACATTGAACAAAGCGATATTGTAGGAGTTTACAGTGGGAAAAGATTCCAGAGCAATAATTCACACAATTTCTGTCTTGCTACTTTTTTTTTTTTTTTAACCTCAGTTAACAAAAGAAGATTAAAGACCAAATGCATTACACCAAAAAAGGCTTTTCTTTCAGAACAACTATGGAATTGTTTCTGAGTATGCAGTATGAGATTTCCAAATTGATATTTCAAGAATCAGATAATTTTATGTTAGCATCATTATTCAGTTCTACTCGGCAAATCTGAAAAACCAAAGTCCAAGAGAAGAATGCAAAACAAATTCTGTAAATAAGCTGGTTTTATGAACTAGGACATCCCCCAAATTACATCTAAGTAGTATTCCCCTAGATCACACCATAACCTTTCCAATGACGTAACAAACTGTAACAGCGTGTTCAGTTCTGAAGCCTCCAAATGATGTGAAGGATTTAACAACCTTTACAAAGCCCTTGGTAACATTTGCACTGACCTATCTTACCTGAGATGGCCTGCCAGTTATTTCACATTTTCTATTACTTCAGAAATATCATTTAATTGTGTGTATTAATAAACAAAAATTACTACAGAACAACTTTTGTCTCTGCAAAGAATGACAAACAATTCATGAGATAAGAACCACTTCATCTTCTTTGACCAAGTCAGATACAAGGCTTTGCAGATACATTAACAAAAGATTCTGAAAAGGACAAGGAATTTAATATTATAAACAGCCAGAGATTGATTTCTCACCCTTGTTTTAAAGGCAGTGGTCTTAAAGTTTTGAATCCTCAAAATAGACTGAAAGTTCAATGCCATACCATTCTGGTTTGTGAAGTGAAATATAGCAAGTAATTCCAAGTAATGAAACAAGTATTGAACTTGCATTCTTTATGATATTTAACTTGTCTGAGTTTCCCAGAACTTAAATTTCATTAAGAAAAACAAAACAAAATTGCAGAACAGTAGGTAGATG